TATCAATGAGACTGATATTTTAATGTGAATGAAAATATACAATGTGGTGAATATTTATGATCAAATTATAAACGAAGAATGTCAGGACCTCAGAAATCGTTTCTGTCAAAAATGGCCCTCTTACCCAAGTTTAAGTCCCTACAGGGGCCCAAAAAAATGCTGCATACATGCCCTAACTGCTCCGTCCTCTATAAACTCTTTTTTCATACCTCAGAAATCGTAATGTACATTTTGAGCTTTCAGGTTGTCACTGATACCTAAGTATGCTAAGCTTTTTCACTTCTGCCACATGAGTCTTGAATGTTGTACAAATACATTGTTGAAGCTGTGCATAAATTATTTATATAGTGACCCACAAAACATTTTATCGATAAGATTGCTCACTCTGACTAGTATAGTGAATATGTCCTCAACCATGAGGTCAACCAACCTACATAAGGACACATTGAAAAGCCCTCTTCATGGCTTCCAAATGCTGCAACCTGCAGTGGACTATTTTTTATAATAGCACTTCTGGAGTCCATTCCACTGGAAGCCACTGGCTGAGGGATCAGAAGCAAAGCATTCTTTGAGAGTTCATGAATGGACTGTTATGAGCAGAGTTGGAAGATTTTCTTGAGTCTATGTGAACTCTGGCATAGACATATTATAAATGACCCAATGCAGGTGATGTTTGCTCCATGCATATCTAAATCAGTGTAATGTTGACCTCATATCCTAGAGCCTGCTCCATCCATGTCTGCCTCTTCATCATCAATAATGCTTTCACAGCCAAGTCCATTACTGTGGCCTTGTCAGATGAGAACTTCTATGGTAAGCCCTTCTTAGGGTTAGGTTTGTAATGTCTCTTATCACTACAGTGAATAAGGATATCTAATAACATATTGTCAGCATTCATGTCAAATGCTCAATCACATATCATTCTGGTTTTTCAGGACTCAGTAACCTCTGATGAATTGGCAGAAATCTCAGACCAAATTCTAGCACAACTCAGATCACACAGAGTTAGTATAGATCATTGTGATACCTAAGGACCAATCAGCTACTCGAGATGTGCTTGTCATATATCATGAATGCACACCTGAGGCTCCACTGCGAGTCAGGTCACATGGTATTCAAGTATGAGCACATCCACAAATCTAACAGTTTTGTGTGTTTCCTTCCTTCAAGAGGTTGGAAGGCAAGCACATTTGTGCAACAGTCGAGCCATGGGGTTTTTCTGCTTCAAATGAGCTAAGCAACTCAATAGAAATAAGGGGACGAGTATGTTTGAATATTTGAGACATCAGATTTGGAACATCAGTGAGATAGGAATGAGAGACGAAGTGTCAAAGACGAACTTGTGGATAAACATGGAGTAGACATTCTTCTAGTAAAGTAGATGTGGTGAGGTTCATGCGTGCACCTTGTGCAATCTGCCAATAGACACCCTTGCATACATTGCAGCTTGTGTGGTACAATTTATTTATATAGTGGCTGATTATCACTTATGATATGTTACAGTACATGATGTGAAACCTGATGGCATTCGTAACTAATGTTCTCCCTCTCACTGAACTGTTGGTTATTCATTCTCTTGTGGAGCCTGACACTTGTCACCAACTGATGTCTGGTGCTTGTCACTAAGGCAGCAGCATGTGGCCCCCCACTCCAGCACTATACACTCATCTTAGAGAATATTTCCTTTTTCACCCAAATAGCTGCCTCCATCTGCAGTACTATAATCCAGCATCCCAGATGTGTACTGCCTTCAGTTCTTTGAGATGGTTCATAAATCCTTCAACCCTTAGAGTTATGCACAATGGCATTGTTACATCCCACTCATTCTCGCTCTCATCCTGATTGGTCTGTATTGTTTCATATTCAATGTGAATGATGTCCAAGTGTTTGCCAACTGTTGATGCTAGATGGCAATAGGCCCTTTCACGTGCACACTGGTGCCTGTTTGCTGCAGTGACATTGGCCCTGACAGACAAAGAAGTCTTTGCATTTCAGAAGTATGATGTTTTCTATTGATGATGAACTGGAGGATAATCATTGATGACTTGTTCACAGAAAATGCAGTGCAAGGCAGTGAAGGCTATGGTCTTATGCTGAATTTCTTTTCCATTGTCGTGAGCAAATCTTCTGTTGAAGGTACAATAATAACTATTCATAATTGCCCCCCCTGAATGACACCAGATTCACCAGCATAAAGATCAAGAGTATCTACATCTGTTTCAACCATCCTGTAGAATCACTTAATTCAGTATGTTGACACAGATAGGAGCGGACATTACAATTTCAGTCACCGAGAACCCGTAGAGCAAATGGACATGATGATTATCACTGCGGTTACATGGAATGAATGTCAGCATTCTAGGATGTAGAGTAAAATGCACGCTTCACATTGACATGCGCGTGAAAGCTGCACAGTAGCATGCGACCATCGTGGTATCAAATGCTGCTGTCACTCATAAAGATATGACAGGTGAAGTGATCACCACTGGTGTAGATGATTCCTGTGAAAGTCTAGTGAACATCGTGGCTGTCAACGAGGTCTGTAGCCACACAACCTACAGAGCCTAGATGTAGAAATTTATCGAAATTGAGTGCACAAAGGCATCACAGGTTGATCAATGCAGGCACAGAAGCTTACCATTATGTGCTGTAGAAAGCTGCTGTCAGATTCAATGCATGAAAAGAAAGGCTCACCTCTGTCATGAGAGATGTTGCAGAAGATTGTTAATAAAGCATCAGTGCGCAGCTCTAATTGCGATTGTCCCATATCAATCTGGATGGAAGAGATGCTGTGGAGATGGATGATGAAGACATGTGGCTGCGACTGATGGAGAAAGGAACCTCTGTGCCTGCGAGTTGAAGTTGCAGCATGCTGCTCATGAAGTTTGCATTGCAGCATGCCAGTGATGATAAAAAAAATGAAGCTACTGAATGCTGAAGGATTCATTCACAGCTGGGATTCGCACAAGGATCACGACATTTTGGACACTTGTTTGTGCTTCTTAAGAAACCTCCACTTACCATTCAACAGCCTGACTAGGAGTAGAACTGTTCACACATCAAGTGCACCCTGTCTAATGACACCATCATACACATTGACCGTGATGAAGTGATCATGTTACCGATGACAGACTTTGGACCTTTGCCATCTTCGCTTCCGTAAGCACCAATTGATCTACACATGTTTATCTCATAGTGCCTTGTAGATAGAACTATAATAATTGATGGCTCTATCATAATCTGTCACAGCACACGCCATGCACTGAAAAGGTGAGCAGACAAAAGACCACAGCACATTTTGGATGCCTTCAATTAACCGATCGGGGATCGAAAGCAGAGCTGTCAGTGTACTGAGTCTAATCTACATCTGGGCATGGTAGACCATGAATCTATAGAGGAGAAGCAACCCAGCTCATCTCCATGTTCAATAGCAAAATGTGGAGTTGTAAATATCATTAATACGATCACAGTGTAAATTAAATGCAGTGAGCATAGTGACATTCTGAAGCTGAAATGGGCATGAGAGGATACACGTATTTGAAGTAATGCAATGTCCTCTGATGTACAAGCTTTAAAATTCATCTTCCATAGATAGGGCTGTCTGGAAGCACCGATTATGTTTTGACAGTCCTGTCTGCCTCATGATCTGTCACAGAATGACAACAGAAGTAAATTGATGCCACAGTGCTTTTCTGATCGAAGCCTGCTGGGCATATAAAGAATGATCACTCGACCATGGGTCCACACTGTTAGAGTAATATGAATCCTCTTCCAACTGTGCAAAGCCTCTAGTAGGACAATTTCCAAGCCTCCGAAGGCATTACCGAGTAGCTTTGACAGTCACATGCGAATGGGGTACAGCTCTGAGCATGACACCATCAACACCTCATCAAGGAAAAGGAGATCCATGTGACATGCTGGAGAAAATGTTGCAGAGCTAGAGGAGCCTGCATGGTCAGAGTATGGATGAAACCTAGCATAGAGTGATATGTAGAACTGCAGATAATGCATGCAGCAAATCCAGTGAGAGCAAGTGGCAGGACACAATATAACTCATCTCATCATGTGAGGAAAGGAGGACATGGCATGTATCACCTGAGACTTAAGACTTCTCCCAGATCCAAAACGTTTCTACGAATCAGAAAATTGAGATCTAATGAACAAACTTCATTTGCACTATGCTGTGCAGCAAATTGTCATGAGCATATTGGCACTCATGTTCATGTCAGCCATAATGCGCTCATGTTCAGAAGCCAATGACGTACACTGTAAAATGTTCTTCCATGTCTCTGGACTGTGCTTGATAGGAGGTATTACACCATCCACCCAGTAAGAAATGTCTCACAGACGATGCCCTTGTCAGGTTAAGGGCAACACATAATGCTTTAACTGATCAAGGAGGATGACTGAGTGAGAGTCACATAACAGATGCCCTCAATAGAGAGTGTGATGCTCACTGGCGCTAGCACTGGGTGAAATAATCAATAACTTGAAAGATGTATCTATCACACATCCATACACTTGCTACACAGCTAGTAAGTGTTAGGCTCTTTAGCCACTGAAGGGATCAGGGGGATTAGGGTGGCATGTTTCACGTGACTGTTTCTTTTTTGAGTCTTTTTGATCTTTTGTCCAGCATCACTGTGACAAACACTCATAGTGAAACTTTACTACATTACTAGTAGCTATCAACAGTCCAATATTTCCAGTCACTATAACTGAGAGTCGAGCAATGAGATCACGTCTGCTGCTCCTGAAATGTGCAAGTCAGGACAGGACACTCCAGTGCCCATTGGAGATGATAATATGAAAATGGCCCCAATGACTTGTCCATTCTCTGCTCCCCCCAAAATGTGCAGGTCAAGTCAGGGTGGGATGCTAGTGCTCATCACCCATCAGGCCTTGAGGTTTGCATCTGTTTTGTGAAGGTACACATTAGCATCTATCCTAGTCCTATCTGATCATTGGAGTTGTTCTTCACAGCCTGTCATCTCCTCACGATGAGTGCCAGTTTAAATATCTTCTCCTCAGATATGTGGGGTGATGTGATTGCAGAATGTATGTTGCACCTCTGTCTCTGTCACACTCATTCAAATTAAATCTGTGAATTTATGCAGAAGTTGCTGGCTGCTCATTGACCAGCATAATGCCATCTTCCTGCATCTACCCACTGGTGACCATGCACCATCATTTCAGCATGGAGCATCTGTTGATGCCTTCTCTGTCTACTCTGCATCATGAATCTGACATTGAGGCTGCTATTCCAGTGCCATTAAGTGCTGCACCCATGGGCTCATCCCTTGATGTGGCCCAGTTCCAGGATGATGCTCAAGAGATTATACCTAAGCCAAGCAGCAAAGTCACTCATCTTTCTCATGAGAAGAGTATAATCTCTGGAATACTTTGGGATGGACTAAGGCTATGTACTTGAACATACAAATGAGTTCTTTCACAATTACACAGTCACTTGATGACATTGAAAATACTTCAGTCCATGATACACAAGTTGGCGGACGTTCATTTAAAGCCTGTAACATTCTCGAAGCAGAGCACTGTCAAACTACAGAAAGTATATGATTTGGTAAGCTCTATTGTGTTCTGCATGTCTTTCACAGGTTCAATTATGAGATGTAGGCAGCTGAGACTCATCTGATTCTCTGCCAATATGAGAGTAATTGGGTTACATATGATTTCCTTCATGCATACCTGAAGAACAAATCTGCTACTGTAAAGAAGGAGATGCCAGTGAAATCTTAAAGCACTGCCGGCAGTTAGTGATTTTCATTAATTGCTGCTTCATTGGAGGATGTTCACTGTAATCACTCTTCATTCAATAATTTACGTATGAGTATGATTCTCAAAGTTAGCTTTGCCTCGTGCATGATTGAAACAGGTGTGATGTATTGATGGTGATGCTGGTGCAGAAGTGAGGACATCATCACAGAAAATGTCACCGTATTTAACAGATGCAACGACACCATGAGTCGCAAAGCTAATCTCTTATGCCTCAGATGAATGCTTCTACTTTCTCATGCCACTGCTGAACATACCAGTGTAATGAAAAATACATTACTCAGAAGAAGTATAGATCTCATAAGAGTTATGACTCGCAGCAAGACAGAGTAGAAAAGGTGAGTTTATTACAAGTATCAATGATTCTGTCTGACATTTCAAAAGCGAAGAGACAACAATTCACAGATACAAGTGAGGAAAGAAGATACTAGTTCAGATACTGAGGGCTGGCTCACATTATGAATCTTTGCCATGACACTGGTGGAAGATGTATCATCTGCAGAATCATCAAACAGCATATGAGGGCGAGAGGAGGTTAGGGGAACCACAGTCGCTGGTGAACCATTGGATTCTTACATATCAGAAATCACCTAAATCCTTCCCACACCAGAACTACAAACTTCTCTCATGCCAAAATGTTGACACCTGTATTGTAGAGCTCCATGCATTTCCGTATGCGTAGGTCAAGCTCTATATTCAATAAATAGAGTTTTTCATATGACTGCTGAGGATTGATTGGTGGCAATCCAGGGCCTGGAGAAGAGTCAAAAAGCATGTGATATTGTAAGACAGTTGCAGGAGAAGGATACTTGGTGCGCAGATGCTGAGAACGTGACAAGGCATGCTAAAGCTGGGCCGGATCACCTGAACTAGACATATTATGCAATGCAATGTTAGAATGTCTTCGAAAGCACCATGAACAGCTACAAGAGCAGATGTCATTGTAACTGTCTTTGCAGCTTGTCCCATATGCTCTTTGACATACCAGCCTTCATACAGATTGGGCATTCCAATCTATTCTGCCCACTGCCAATTCAAGAGGTGGCCTAAGAGCACGTCATGTAATATGAAGCTAACTATTCATGGCATCTGCAACAGCCAGAGCATACATTTACCATGGCAGCCATTTGCAGTGCAAGGTTTTGATGACTTCATAGGGGGGCTTCTCTGCAGACCAGGGATGGAGGAAGCAATGGCAATGGGGACACAAAATATGCAGAGTCACCATTTGTGTGACATCAAGGATGCCTCGGTGATGTGTGAACTGCAAGGTAAAGATGGCAAACCATTTGCGACTGAACCTGAAGATGAATTGCATCTACTTTAGAGTCTTTCTGTGGACTGATTCAATCCCTATCTCAATAAGATAGTAGGTAGATCTGTCTCAGAGGGTTCAATCATCATGTGCTATCTTCCCTTATCTCCCAGTCTGAAATATAGGGCTAGAACCTGTATCTGATAGGCATCCCAGGGCCATAGGAGCCTACATCATTCAGCACATCAGCAAAGCATCGAGATAGGTACCTGGAACACATTCATGCATACATATCTGGGATACTGCAGCTACATCCTGACATAACTCCCAGACTGAATCATCATAATGCATTACATCATGGAGACTTCCTGCTATGCTTCGGACCAGTACAGGGCTAATGGATGTTCACATTTGAGAGCGTTATCGAAATACTACAACAAATGACAACAAATGGGAGACTAGGTGAGCATTGCTACTGGTTTATTATGACTCATGCATCATTGCAGGACAACTAGAAAGAACCATGTTGTAATTGTTCTGTGCAGCAGCCAATATAAAGGCATTCTTGAAGTGCATCGAATGCTCGACTATCCTACAAAGATGTGCATCCATTGTCAAGAACTGTTATCAGGATGACAGCTGCAGAATGTTCATGACAGATGTGTGCACCTATCTCAACCTTACAAGCAACAGAATTGTAATGCAACTGAATTTGACTGAAGAAATTGGGAGGACATCAGTATCGATGTTTACAGTGCACTGGCTGCACAGATGGAGTTGCTCTCAGCTGAACTCCAGAATTGGCAGCTTGTATCAAGGGCAATTCATCATTGATGCTATACAATATGTGGGGTTCAATAATATATGTACCACACAGAACAATGAACAATCCAATAGTGTGCTTTACTTCCAGCCTGCAGCAGGTTCGATCACAGTTCCAGGAGTCATCAGTGACATACTATTCTGTTTCAGTGGTGGATTACACCAAGAAGAATCCACACACTCATGTTCTCCTTGTAATACACAGATATAAGCTGAAGCCAGCAGCCATGGTTGACCATTCAGCAACTATCCAGATTTTGGTGCCACTGTCTGGTCAAAAACCTTCGAGGAAAAGATCGAGATTGTTCTCAAGAACTGTCAGTTGTGAAATGCACTTTGACAAGAATAGGACCATACAACATATGTCTTCAAGCCTCTCATCAATGAATGTACATCTTGAACCATACATGCATATATGTTCCTCAGATTCACTAATGGTAATTCAAACATTGTAGAGGTTCACAGGAATTGCATAAGCAGTATCAAAGATGGGTGCTTATACATATATCGATGCACCCTCTCCCTTATATTTGTCCATTAGTTGGCATAACAGTTCTAATCAGGTTTTTAAGGTCACATTACACTCTCACAAATTGATAGTAGTTTGTACTAGTGAACTGACTAACAGACCAGTATTGTGAAGTATAAGTGCACGCATCATGAACCAGCTGCCGTAATTTAGCTTGGCACCTCTGTATGTGTCCACAACTCACCTCCTCCATGCGGAAAGGCTCTCAGTGTCAGTATTGGGCCTTATTTCAGTTAGTGGTGCCTGGCTTCTTTCATTTCAGCTGAGCGTGATATTAGATCCTCCAATCCATTGATGTGAGTTCTGATCTTCCTTCAATCTGTTGATGCAGGTTCTAATCCTTACTTGATATGATCTAATAGATGGGATGTGTCTCTTCATGCTTAGTGGCTGCTGTGAGAGTTTTGTCTCCATTGATGATAAGAATGATGTGTTGCTCTCCTTCACATTCAAATCTTCAGCATGTTTGGTCTATCTCTTCACTGTGCCAACATCAGTGAGGCATTCATTTCTCTGTACTCGAATTGTCCACAAATTGCATGTTGCTGTCCAGTAAGGTTTCTAGCCCATCAGCAGCCCATGCACACTTTCCATGCAAGTTAAAACCTTGTCACAGCACTGCTGAACAAGAGATCAAAAAAGACTAAAAAAGGAACGGTCACGTGGAATGTGCCACCCTGATCCCCCTGATTCCTAAAGTGGCTTAAGAGCCTAACACTTACTTGTTGGTGAAGCAAGTGTATGGAAGGGTGAAAGATATATGGTGGAGCTGGTAGACTCAGTGGGTGCTACAGTGGTAGACAAGGAGAAACAATCTGAAGTTTCGTCCTCTACATGCTGGTCTTATATACATGTACAGGAGCCTGATTACATAACCTTCATCGTACCACTACTATAAAATAGATGATTGGCTATCTACGTATCTAGGCAACTAAACTATACATGGAACAATAAGTGAGAAGATCTATTCATAAGCAAAACAATAGGTGAGAAGATCTGTCTTTATCGGTATCAACTGTGAGACGATTAATCCTATCATGGTAACAGCTATACCTTGAGCTGATTGCCTAGATGATCTCGAACAATAGTTCATATTCCCTTTGTTCTCAAATGGGTGCCTCTATTGTATCCTGGAATAGACAGGTCTGACCATATCATCTGTGAGTCTGGACCATAATATGTGATGTGGACTATCACCTGATCTCTACGTGTCACGTCTGTGGCTGAGTGGTGTGAGATATTGGTGAAGCATGTGATCTGTGGCATGAGAAAATTCACGTGCAGACTTTGTGGTGAAAATCTGTGACACTACCCCCCTCTCAAGGCTCATTGTCCCGAGGAGCCAAAACCTTTATTTCCCCTTCTAGTTGCTCGCAATAGTTGGTAGCTTCTGGAGGGAAGCCCTTCGGCGTAATACTCGAAGATTATCTGGGCTATCCTGTCTCCTGAATTAACCGAAAATATGAAATCTGTTGTGTTAATCAGTATGACCTTGAGCTCTCCAGTGTAATCTGGGTCAATGACTCCTGCGCCCACATCAATTCCTCAAGCAGCCAGTCCGCTGCATAGAGCTATTCATGTGTAGGTGTGTTTGGAAGGGTCAATGGTGACTCCCATTCCTACTACAGCTCATGAGTGTGGAGGGATTTCATGCATTTCTGCCATATAAATATCCCATCCAGCTGCTTCATTTGAGGATTTTTTCAGTAATTTGGCATTGTCTGTCATTTTATGACAAAGGAAGAACTCGTCTGGGTGGTCAGACATGTTGATTCTGTGTGTGGATATCAGTGCAACTTCATATGAGGATAGTTTGAAGCGTTTTCCACCAAATGTAACAACCCTGATTGGTGCTTTGGCTGCATCTGGATGTTGTTGGTAGAATTCTTGAAGAAGCTCATCAGCATTGGTGAGATTTGTTCGAGGTTCCCATGTATCATCGGAATGGTCATAACCTTTCCATTTGACGAGGTATTGGACCCTTCCCCTCATGACCTTAGAGTCTAGAATTTCTTCAACTTCGAATTCTGGTTCTCCTTCGATTTTTATAGCTGGAGGCTTTGGGGGTTCACGGTTTGTGACCATGTCTTGATGGTACATGATCAACTTGCTAGCATGGAAGACTGGATGGACCTTCATCTGCTTGGTCAATTCTAGTCTGAACGTGACTGAGCCTAGTTTCTGAAGTACTTTGTAAGGTCCGAAGTTTTGTATGCCTAGCTTCATGGATTTGACCTTTACTCTGAGATCCTTTCCCTTGAGTAGTACTAGTCTCCGACTTTGAATGGAACTTCTCCCTTTTTCTCGTTGAAGTACCATTTCATCCTTGAAGCTGAAACTTCCAATGCTGCCTTTGCCTGTTCTTGTGCCTTGGATCAGTGGGTGAATAGATGTTCCAATGAAGGGTGACATATTGATTCGTGTATGTCTGGTGCCATTTTTGGATGTCGGCCATATTCGACAAAGAATGGGGAAAGTGCAATGGACTCATGGGTCTGGTTGTTGTATGAGAATTCTGCCATCGGCAGATAATAGACCCAGTCATTTTGTCTGTGGTTGCAGTACATGCGAAGGTACTGTTCCAACACCTGGTTCACCCTTTCTGTCTGACCATCTGTCTGGAGGTAGTATGCTGTAGACATTGTTGACTTTATATTGAGCTTCTGGCAGAACTCCTGAAATAGTTTGCTCACAAACTGAGTACCTCTGTCTGAGATAATCTGGCGTGGCAATCCGTGAAGTTTGAAGACTTTGTTATAGAATACGTTAGCGACTTGCGATGATGTGACTGTGTCATCTGTCACATAGAAGTGCGCTCGCTTCGTGAGTCTGTCTACAACGACAAGTATTGCTGTCTTCTTTTCTCCCCTAAAGTCCATGGCTGAAGGAAGTTGTGTGATAAGATCGACAGTGACGATCTCTCATGGTCCTCCTGGTACATCATTGGGTTGTAATAGTCTGTATGATTTTTTTCCTTGAGTATTTGTTGCATTGACAACTGTCACAACCTTGTACATATTGCTTAACCATTACAAACATTCCTGGCCACCAATAATTCCGAGTGATGAGCTCCAAT